TTGCCGAGCGATCGTGAGCAGTGTAATGACAGCAGCAGCAGCAGCAACAAAGGTCCCAGATTTAAGATCCCACATCCCAGATCAACGATCCCAGATCCAAACCGATCCGATCCCATGCCCAATTAACAATAGCGATCAGATCAGGTAGTTCAAACGGTTGAGATCGCATTCTAAGCCCTGGTAATGGGATATGGCCTAATTTCTGTGCCACCGATACGGAAGTCGATCGGTAACTAGCCAGGATATTGATAGGGATATGGCCACCGACACTGCGATCGATTTCATTCAATTGAAGGGAAAGTGAAACTGTCAGGCGATTCGGTCTCCATTGTGGTTGGCTTTTGGCTCAAGATTATTTATTGTGGGACCCACATTTGTTGTGATTAGATTTTAAATGGTTTGACAAGGGGATTCCATTTACAATGATTTGCTTACAATATAAAGAGGCATCAGGAATCGGAAATAGATCCCTACTTATTTAGTAAGTATAATACATAATACTTATTCATTTTTTCACACCAGACCCAGACTGTTATTTTGTAAATTAATTTAAAATCATTTTATAAGAATAAGAACCCTTTAAGAAACTGTAGACTCATCCAAAACTTAACAAGACATAGCATACAAAATAGTTTGATAAAATGATTTGCGCTGGACAAAGGTTTATATTATAGAACCCAACAATTACTAGTTCCAATCGTGACTTGTTTTATAATGCATTAATTAATTAAAACTAAATCAAGTGCTTAAAATGTATTCCCCCCAACTTGACCCCTTTTCAATGAACCGATTTGAAAAGTGCTAACACAAAAGAATAATAAATGGATATCGTGCAAGGTGATTTAAATAACATTTGATTTCTGGCTTCAATCGAATGCAATTTGTTTGGAGGTTGAAATCGAAGGGGTTTTAGCAAATTGAAAAACTGGAAATTTACTGGAAAATAATCAAAGGCATATGTACTTATCGCACATTTATGGCCAATCGTAAATCTCCTGGCGGCGTTTCGCTCAGTGTGCGGTTTGATTGATTGATGGCTTGATTGATATCCCCGTTCGACATCAACCCCTCAAATCATCCAACTGTCGCCGATTGCCAGGGGTTGTTGTAATGGGCATAGTACACAAATTGTGTGTTGTGGCAAATGTAATAAACGAAGTTCAAAGACAAATTTGTTTGCCATTTACATTTAGCGATGGACTCGTGAGCGGGGGAACTAGATTCAGATCACGCAGCAAAAAATTATGATAATTCTAAAGGGGATACCAATAAATCTAGATAAATATACAATATATAATAAAAACATTTCAGTAATCCAAAAACCTATTTCAAATAGATACTGAAAACATTCAGCATATTAGTTTTTACATAGACTTGTTATCTATTATTTTTATTCAATAATGTAAGGATACACACTTGTAATTTTAAAAGGATGTGTCTCTATTTTATTAATACAACATTAATATTGAATGCAATCTTATATCGACATGCCTGTTTAAAATTTGAAAACACATATTGTTTTTACATTAAACTTACTTTGAATAATAGTCCTATAATCGAAATTATATTATTTGAATTTACCTTAAGGCATTTATAATTATTTTATTTACATACTATTTTATATTTCTCTATGATCTGCATACATTAAAGGCGATACCTTAAATTTCGATTTAAAATGTATTGATAATTACAATCACGCGCTCATCTTCAGTTAACATGATGTATGTATATTTATCCTTGTATCCATAAGGCGTTGTATCTGCATCTGCGAAATATCCAGCTGTGCGGGCAATTACGCTCACATATGGACAGCACCTTGCTAATCCGATCGGCCCTTCGACGAGCTAATGGCCCTGTTTCCTAACCATACCTATTCGGATACAGAATCGAAGTCCAAATCCAGATCCAAATCCAAAACCGTATCCATATCCGCATCTGTAGCTATGTATCTACATCTTCGACGGCCATGTATCTTTCGCTTTCGCTAAAAATACCGTTCACTCGCTATTTCAGCGCGTGTGACGGGCATCCGTGTGTTTATTCAAGACGGCTTCTATTTATTTTTTATACGTACGTTTTAATGTTTGCATATTGTACGATCTGGGCGCATAGCCCCCCATGGTATCTATTCTATATCTATTTAATTTCGCATTTCTAATTTTTCCCCTCGGATCGGTAGGCGCTATTTTTGTACCGCTTCAAGCAGAATATGCGCGCCAAAAAAGTAAAATAGAATAGAATAGAATAGCCGCCAAAGAAACAACGCATTTTATTCGGCTAAAATATAGTACGACTTGCAAATGGGTCGACTATAATATATCCTTTATATAATAACACATGACCGATATTTATTTATAACTTTTCACAGAAAATAATATTTACAATCACAAACTGCAAAACTAAGGTAATTTGAAGATAGCGTTTTGAAATTATTTAAAATCAACAAATTGATTTTAAGTCCTTGTTATTAAAAGCTTTAAAATAATATATTTTCTATTTTAAAATTAATTTAATTGTTCAAATTTTAGCTGTTTTTAAAATGTATTTTGTTTACCTTTGGGAATTTCTCAACCGGTAAAGTGCCCAGATCTAACATATAGATGTGAAAATCCTTAACCCCCATGTACATACATATATACCTCAGACCTCATCGGTGTTCCCGATTTGATTGGCCAAGAAGAAGATCAGTTCGTTTATTTATTAGACGCGGTACAATTTTAATATAAACCATCAAAATGTAGAAGACGGTGTGCAAAATACAAGGAATTGGGGAATTGACGGAACGTGCAGAAAATAGGTCAAATCTATTTTGGGTGAGCAAAAAAAAATGCGATAAAAATAATGGGTAGCAGCAAACGGTTTCCATCTTCTATATAATACTAATACCTCCCCGGTTTCCTGTGTTATGATGCCTCCAACACCTTTTCTTGACTTTTGCGAAAAAGAGATCTTTTTCTCTGCCGGCGGAAAATTTTTCGTCGTGTTGCTAGGCACTGGAAACCAAGATGATTTAGTCATTGGGAATATGGCGAAATTTTTGGCGGGACCTTAGATCACGCCACGCCCAAATATAGTATTATTTTCGGTGGGATAACACCGGGAGAAATTATCACAAGAAGGGCTTTGGATTTTACGAAAGACAAATATTACTCATCTAACTTGAAGATCTTAAAGGGTTTTGTTAAATTTTTAAATAAGTTTTTTGTTTCAAGATCTTATAAGGTTTTGTACATCTTAACAATATATTATATTTATAATATAATAATTGTTTTTATCAATTTATTAATTAATAATAATATATAGCCTATTTTGCCGTCAGTGTATCAGTTTGGTGTGGATATGTTGCCCATGGTTTCTCAGCTGGCATCCCATTATGATTAATGGTCTCGAGTTTGGGAGTTGGATAAAGTTTTTTATTGTTCTACAAAACTTTATCCATATGAGCATCTCAAAATGGGGCTTATACATTATATTGATTAATTGTATTTTAAAGGAACTGCCCTTTAACTTACTTTTGGGAAACCAAATCAAACACCACGCCTCTATTTTCAAGCCCAGACATCAGCTGTGGGTTATCCTTAAGCCAATAATAAGTAGGGCAAACGTATTTTTGGTGTTTGAGGTCTAGAAAGTTCCATAAAGTGGGTTAAGCCCATAATAAAATCGAATTTACAGGAAATCTACTTATGTCCTTTAATGATTTAAGAGACCAACTGCTGATAGGCTGATATGTGATAAATGTTTGATAAATATTCCGATGAAAATGTACAGAAAAACTCACAGTTTCTTAAAGTAAATACACATTTCTTTATATTTCTTTTACACTCGTTGAAAAGTTGACTTTAAATTGATTGCCAGCAATAAACCATGACCAACTTGACCACAAAGGCAGCAATTTCCCAGGCAAATGCAATACAAATTGCAGTTCAAATCTAGAACAAATCCCCAGGACAACAGGCCAATTGTCGAGGAATCCTTCCAGGGACGAGAAACCTTTGATCCGCTTTCTCGGAATCGGAATCGAAGTCGGAATCCTTCGCCGTCGTGATGGATTTTCAGCCTTTATGCCCGTCGACTTTTATTAATGCCACTTGCGACAGGAAACGCTTTCTTGGCCAAATTGCACTTGTCATGCTGCCAAGAAACGTTCGAACCGACCATTCAATTGACCAGGAGTCGTGACAAATGGAAAATCCAAGGGACCCGAGACCTTAAAACCTGAAAAGTGTCTCGCTTGAGTCAACAATGGAAACCGTCCGCATCATCGGGCCATCAATGAAATATTGAGTTCGTTGAATATTGAGAGAGTTGTATATATACATAGTTTTATTTTACAAGTCAAATGGCAGCCCGCATGAATCAGCTTAGTGAAAATTGTGGAATAGTGGCAATTAAGGCCGGCGAAAAACGAAAAAAATTAAACAACCAAAACAAAGTGTCATTAAAACCGTAAGCGATGCGATGGCCCACGCCATGTTAAGCAGGCAAATAGAAAAATTTATTAAACAAATAAAAGCCACGGGGAGGGGATTACGGAAGCGGGCGATCTCGGGTCTTCAATTAGTCAGACTTTTACCCCGGTCATTTCCACCCCACAGCAACAGCAGCAAAACTATCTACACACTGCAAAAAAAATTAAATCAGTTTAAAAAAAATTAATTCAGAGAAACCTTTTTACCAAGGTATTTAATTCTTATACCTTTAAAATTTGTTTTTAAATAAAGAAATCATTAAAATTAAGGGAGCGGTTTTATAACTTGCATCTTATTCAAACGCGAATTCTTTAGGACTTAGGATTACTTGTTCTTATATTAGTTTTTCACTTATTTCAATGCAATTTAATGCAAATTTTTTGATTTTTGCGATTAGGAATATTTATATTTCCAAAATATATTTATTTATGAATTATAGTTATTACCTAAAATTGGAATTACATTATTAAACTATTTTAAACTAAAATGTTGTACAGATTCACAACATTGTTTAAGTTTTAGATTGCTTTAATTCTTGAAGTGTCCAACGTGTGCAATTAACTCGACAAAAGTACTTGGGCAAAGTGTCCGGGGGTCTGGGGCATTTCAATATAATAATAATGGTTCTGTACTCACTCAGTAAGCTGATTCATCTCCGGCAGGGAAAACACCTGCAGATGTAGATGTACACACCCAGTGAAACTCGGACAGGTAGGTCGGTTAGGGTTAAGGGTTGACATTTAGCACATATAGGAAGGCCATATTATCATCGTCTTTGACTTACCCGAAAAGTGCTTTTACGATCGAGCTCTGCCACTTTTATGGCAATGCGCAGGATGTCGCATTTTTATGGCACTTTCACCTTCGACCTAATCTGCAGATTCCCACCGAGCGAAAGAAGGGAGTGGGGAGGCGCCATTAAATCTATCCATATATAGTTCCTGGAAGCGTTTGAGATAATGCCATTATCGGGCGTAACTATCGCATCAGGTAGTTGTCATAGAACGCCTGTGGCATACTTAAGTTGTTTCAGTTTGCTAGATTGAAAAATTTGAAGGGGTTACATCAAATAAAAGTGAAAATGATGTAAGCAAAGGTCTCGAATATATTATAGTTACCTATGGCATCCATAAAAAGTATTTCCTGCCTCTACAATTATCTTGTAAGTAAATTACACTCTAAGAATTATTAGAATCAGAAAGTCACTCTTTAACAATGAGCACAAATATATTCATTCTAAAAATCGTTGATCTCATACTCTTTGCACAACTGTCAAAGGGATCAGTAAAAATTTCAAACTCGTCTCAGAGTAACAAAACAACCCAGTGGAACAGATTACAAAAATTTAGAAGCTATCACAAGCTTGAACCTCCCAAAAAATTCGATTTGCCAAAATTTCAGACCACAATGTTTGAGATGCAGTATATCACCTCTCGAGTCCACCGATTTTTGCATAAATTCTTTTACATACATCACGATTACGACGAGTACTCGATCTGGAACTTTTGCCCGATGACCATCTGGAAAGAGTTCACATCCATGCTCCAATCCTGCTGCTTTTGCCGAACCTGGCTATTCCCAATGGTTTACTGGCTGGTGGTGCTCATCAGTCTCTATGGAGCTGGGGTCAATTGCTATAAGATGATGAAAATGTGGAAGGACCCCTGTGGCAAGTTCACCGTGTGGCGTCAACGGCACTTCTACGTAATGGATCAATTGGTGCTACGCAAGGTCCGTCTTGTAAGCTCCAGTATCTACCAGATCGCATGGTTCATGCTCGTCTACGGCATTATAATGGTGGGTACGCGAATTCTACAGCTTTGTGAGCAAATGAGCGATTTTTCTAATCAGTATTTTAAAACGCGAATTCTTTAGCTCAAAGACTTATTAAAGTATTGCTCCACACATTTTAGTATGCCTTAAAAGCAAACGCGAATTCTTCAGGATCCCATTTAAATTGACTTAGATTAAACCGAAAACTCGCATAAGCTTTTCAGTTCTTTTAAAGTATACCATTTAAATTGACTTTAAATATACCGAATACTCGTATTAGCTTTGATGTTGCTTTAAATGGAAACGCGAATTCTTGAGAACTTTCTTTCATTCTCTCGAATCCCCCAGGTGTCCCCCAACGCAATGGCTCCCTGGATTCTGGTGACCAGCCTCGTCCTGTCCGTGGAGGTGTTCATATGGTTCTTGGAGGTGATCACCGGCATACTGCCGATTAACCCGCAGACGGTGCTGTCACTGGTTTTGCACGTGTACTTTTTGGGTATGGTGTGCTGCGTGAAAAGCGTGTTCGAGGTGGCGCTCGCTGAGCAGGCCGACTACTGGCTGCGGATCATTTGAGGACGGGTCGCCGCCGAATGTCATCATTAAGTAAAGGTGCAGGGCCGGCATAATTGCATCTGAACCTGCATTAAGCCCAATTAAGTTGGCGGCGGCACGCACACCAACTCGCCCCTAATCAGTGTTGGCGATACCCTTTACATTCCCGTTGCCTTTCCGAATACTCTTTCTTTCCAAAAACAAGAAATCATTAAGCTTTGCCTCATATTTTTGTAAATGTTTCATAGCTTTTTATATTCAAAATTCTTTATTGGATCTTAATCAAATGTATAAATTAATAAAGTGTAGTATTATTTGAAGCCAGTACATAAGCCACATATTTTTTTTGAGTACATAAGAAAAGGGTTATAATATATATAACATATAAAAAGAGAAGTATATTAATTTTAATAGAATATCATGCGATAATACAATAAATGAGTATATATTTTATTTGAATATTCCGTTTTTTTATTAAGATCTCTGGAATTATATTACCAAACTATATCACCAACCTCTTTGACTTTGGGACACAACCCCGATTTGGGAGAGGGCACAATATTAATTCGCCTTTATTTCAACACTGTTAACTTCATCGATCGGCGAATTGCACCTGTTGCAACCCCAGCCTTAACCCCTCCACGTCTTAACCCCTTGTCTGCGAACCTCTCGCAAGCTGCAAGCCACCGAAATCTATACATAATTAAAATGAAAAAAAGGAAAAAGCACGCACAAGGAGGGCAGTGCGTTGAAAGTTTAACGAGATGGTTTGGTCTTATATCCTCGTCCGTCCAGACCAGTTATGTGACATCCGAACCCCTAAAAAAAAGAAGGTATATAAAAAAATACATATAAAGGAAAAAAAGTTACAGCTGGCCCCTGGGCGACGCCTTCGAATGCATCTGTCCGCCAAAGAAAGAAATCTGCCAGGAGAACCAGATAGTGAATATATGCCCCTATACTTAAGCGAAATGAGATCCTTTAGTGCGAATCAGAAATTAAAGGTAGTACGATTAAGAGAACATTATGAAGTTAAGCTAATATTATAAATAAATCTGCCAGTAGAACCAGATAGTGAATATATACTTAACTGAAATGAGATACTTTACAGCGAAGCAGAATTCAATCGTTCTTAAAAGAACATTTTAAAGTTAAGCCAATAAATAATATGAAAAATATAGATATTAATTTTTGTATATTATACTTTTTAAACTATTTTTAGATTAAACAAGAATTCCCATAAATGTCTTAAAATATTTTATATTATATTTATTTTATGAATATATTTTCCGAAATAAAACTCAGTTTGGTTTTGTGTGTGTGGCTCTTCGCTGCGCTTTTCTTTATTCAACTTTCTCCGCCTTATCCACATATCCCTTTATACTTTTTTTCAATATTTTCTTACAAAAGTTCTCTTTTTCTTAAGCTCTTCCTTTCGTCCTGTCAAATTGTTTGTTGTTGTTTCATTACGTATACGCCTCGCTTTCTTACAAATTTGTTAATGTTCTATTTAGGTAATATATATAATTTGTTGTTTCTTTCTAAATATATATATAATTGAATAATGTATAAGTATATGGTGTATATTATATAATATAATTTATTTCAAATAATTGGTAATTTATAATTATATTGTTGTTATTATTATGTATGTATATATATGCATGTAAAACACATTTATTAAATATTTTCGAAAAAATACAAAATGTACAAAAGTTCTCTCTTCTTCTCTCTTTTTTTTTAGTTGAACTATTGAAGCCTGTTAAATGTATTTTTGGTTTTAGTTTAAAGCTGTCTATTTAAGCAGATTTCAGTGTTTTCATTATCTTTTGTGATTTCATGTGCCTTTTTTTAGTTTAACATATATTTTTTCTGAATTTTTGTTTAATATCCTTTCTGTCATTATTTACACTGCGGTTTCTATGACTATTTTGTACTTTTGATTCTGCATTGCCTTTGTTTGTGTGAGTGTGTGTGTGTAGGTGCTTGTGTATGTGTGTGAGTGCGGAACGACCTTGAAGTCCAGCGAATTTCCAGTTCTCAAATCAAATTTAGGCAATAAATTAACCAAAATATACGCTAAACAGTGACAAATATAACTCTACACATACTCACAAACGCGAAAAAATAATTGGTTTAAGCGAAATAAATGAAACGAAATGCGCTTTTAGCAGAGGCGTTAAATTCATAAATTAAGCAATAAGGAAAAAAGTCCAAATTTATAAATTTTGCTTAAAAAGATAATGAAGTGCACAGAAAAAAATTACTTAGCCACAAAACAAAGGCATAATAAAAATAAAAGAAATAATTAGCCGAACAAAAATATACAAACATTATATTATAATATTCATATATATACACATGTATTATTCTTGTTTTTTTTGTGAAATGCAAAGTTGGTACATTATATTTAAGTTTTTATAACCTTAATATTTAAAAGCTGTGTTTTTAGAAGCTTTAATCGTGTCGGAAATAATATTAAAAACTAAATAACAATTATTTATCATAATAGTACTGTTTTATATGAAATCCAATTAAAAAAAAAATGTTTCTTTTTTAAAAATTCCTTTTAGTATTATATTAACATAGTAAAGTTTTGGTAAATAAAACATTTCAACTAATACTAACAAAACACTTTTTTGACTTATTGAAAATACAAAATTCTTGAAGAATTTTTTGATAATTTGAAATTACTCAAGATAAATTAAATAAAAATTATACAAATCAATAAAATGTTATATCAACATATAAATAAAAGTGTTCGTTTTTATAAGATTGCAGTGCAAAATATATAAGCGATTCCTTTTTACCATTATTGGACCTGGTTTAAAATCATTTATAAAGTAAGATGTTGATGTTTCATTTTAATTTTAAATTACTTTGTGAAGATGATTTAATTCAAATTAAATTGGCAATGACTCCTGGTGACTCTTTTCTGGAAACGAATTTCAGAACCAGCCTGTAGAAGCCGCAAAAAATATGAAAACCAAAATAAATAAAGATAAACAGAAGCGGCAGAAAATAAAAAAAATAAAAACAAAAGGCAGACGCAGTCGCAGCGCAGCCGGCGTGACCTTCACCCAATAAAGCGACCGACCGCGGTCAGAGTGTAAAAAAAAAATTAAAAAAACGAAAAAAAATTGTTGCTTGCCATTTTTTTGTTTTTTTTTTTGCAGTTAAACAATTGTGCACGCCAATTTTGTTGACTCTGTTTTGCTTCGCCCGTCGCCCTCATTGTGTGTGTGCGAATTTGCCGGCTACTTATCTGTCTACCCTTTCGATTTTCAGGGGTATCCCCAAAATACGGATGAACAGAGAAAAAAATTTGTATTAAAATTCAAAATAAAATTTAAAAAAAATATTTTTATTTAAAAATAAAACATTTCCTTACTAAAAATTAAAACTTATATGTCAAATATATTTATTAAAAATATATATTACATTATATATAATATTTAACATATTGAAATATATATTTAACAAAATTATTCACCATATTCTGCTCAATAACTCTCTAACAATCAACAATAAAATTATAAAACCCTATATTTTAAGGAGCAAATGTATTGAAATTGTTCAAATTATTTCAAATAATATATGTAAATATTAAGAAAAGAGCATCAACTTATCCATTCGACTCACACCAGAAAATGTATCTTTCATCTTTTGTTTTGTATTTTTTTCTGCAGCTCAATTCACTTACCAAGTGAATATATATGTGGAAAAAAAAATCAACCAACGAAACCGAAACTGAATGATTGTAGTAAAATAATAAAGCACCAAAAAACAAAACAAACCATGTATAAGTGAAATGTTATTTTATGGCTATCGTGATCGTTGTTATTGTTATGACGCTGACTGTCTCCCGCCCGGCATCTGTGCTTCTTCTTCAGCCTGCTTTGTTGTCGCTTTGATTTCATTAAAAATTTTTTGCCGGTAAAAAAAACAAGAGAAGCAACAACAAAAGTGAAACAACTCTGATTGAATTAACTTAATTTGTCTGGTGGGCGGAGGGGCGTGGCACTGACATCCCAGGCGAAATGCGAAAAAAAAAAGCGTTGAACTGCTTGATTAGAAACGGCGACAAAAGTCATTTTCCCACCACCCACAAGGTGAATCACTTCGAATGATTCACTGCGAATTCGATATTTGCGGTAGGAAAATGAAAGTGAAAACTATAGATAATACCAGGAAACAAAAGTATACAAATTCTTACTTGTTAGAAAAGTTAATTTGGATTATTCAATAATAAAACTATGTAATATTTATTTCTTAAAAAATTTACATTGAATTATATGTATCTATAAAATATTAAACCGTTCAAAAGTGTGGTGGAAATATAATAATCATAAGAAAACACAAATCAAAAAGTAAAATATATTTTCAAAAATATTTTTTAAAGTTCCTTTAAGAAATTGTAATTTTTGTGGATTGATAGATGATGGATTCATTTAATAACTCCCATATTCCTTTTTTGTCTGCCTGCAAAATATAATCATAGTAAAGCCGTCTAGAAAACTGCAACAAAGTTGCATATTTTCCAAAATAAACAGTCTGAAACGTCAAAACCTTGTACCAAATATGAGGATCTGGAAAGCTTCAATATTGTATAGGAACCAATCAACAAAACAGAAGAGGAGAAATAAAAACAAAATCAAAATTAATTTCTTTCTTGGTATGTTGAAATATTTTTATTGTATAATTCCATTATCATAAATTTTGAAAAAAAAATATTTAAACGGTTTTGTTTCTATATATAGTAGTGTGTGTATATATATAAGTGTGTGTGTTGCGTGTAATATATATTGTTTATATATGTAAAAGGTACATAAAATGTAATTTATTGTGTTTACTTTTCTCATTTTTTTTCGCTTTCAATTTGTTTTTCATTAATAGGTAACTACATAACGAGTTAAAAATTATTAGATAGTATATTAATATAGGTGTTTAGCATGATTCGCCAGTTAAATCAATATTATTTTGCGATTTTTACACATACATAATAAGCAATAACCAAAGTGAACAGAATTTTCATAACTTCTTTTGTCATCAAATCAAAAATATGGTTTTCAAATATATATATAGTCATAAAGGTATGAAAAAAAAGGTTTAAATATACATGTAATAATTCAATCATGTTCGTCTATAGTTTCATGTTTTTCGTTCAGTGTGTTAACAGTTTTTTTTATGCTTTCATTTCAATGAGTTTTTCGCATTTTTTTTCACATGTTTTTACATTTGTTTTTTTTCTTCCAATCATTTTCTTTTTGTTTAATAATAAATTTTTAACAACTAATTCAAATAGTAGTTTGTGTGTGTATAATATAAAAAAATTTCATAATCATAAAAATATATTTAAACTTAAAAACTTTTCTTTTTTAAAATAAATGTATTTTATAAGAAAAAAAAGTTTAATGTTTTTTTTGTTTTGTTTGCGAGGATTTTGGTTTTGGTCATAGTTTTAATATATATTTTTTTATAATAAAAAAATTATTTTTAAAAATGCGCTTTCACTTGAATTTGTTGTTTTGTTAATAAATTAATTAAAGGACTAAACAAAGAAAAGGTTTGCTTTTCGTATTTTTTGTTTCTTGTCATTTGTTTTTTTGTTTATTGTATCGTAAATTTGTACGGTTCTTGTTTTTGTTTGTTGAAATTATAGAAAGAAAACAAGGTTTCAATTTTTTTCGTTAAACTATTACTTGTTGTATGTACTATAGGAAAATAGGTGCATTCGTGTGTGTTTGTGTATTTTGTATATATATAGGTGTGAGTGTGGTATTGTGTGTTTGTTGGTTTATTGAAGTTTTGTTTTCGCGTTGTACAATTCGCTTAAGTCTATTGCTTTGTGTTTTCTCTCCGGGTTTTGTGTTTTCTATAAAAATAATTCCATCTCTTGGGTTTTGGGTTCGCTATTTTGTAGGCG